CTATCTGACCAATTTGTGTTTCCAATTTCTTGATCGAAGCCTATTGATTCTGAAAGTTTGTATCAATTTGTTGGAAAACCTTATCTGTCTTTTGCATGCACTGATTGAACATCTCTCCCAAACTTGGTTTCTTCTCAGCTGAGCTTTATTTGGGATGTTCTCTGGCTGAGTATCAGACCACTTGAAATTTGGGCGTTGTCTCCATCCTGGGTTATAAGTTTGAGAATGCGCGTTGAAGTTGCGAGAGCCATTTTGAATGAAGCTAACTTGTTCTTCTAGAAAGCCCACAGACATGCAATTTGTTGTCAAATGATCAGCTCCACAATTTTTGCATGAAGAATTTACTCGCATCCCCCTTGCTCCTTGTGTTTGCAACTTCACAAGCAACTCCAGCTGCTTTGTCAATGCTGTTATCTGTGTGTTGGTAGAGGTTGTGATGTCCACTTTGTATACCCCGACTGCTTTTTGTGGTAATACTCTTTTAGATGAGAACATGGAGTGTGTATTAGCAATTGACTCAAATAGATCCATTGCATCCTTTACTGATTTTCCATTGCATATTGATCCACCTGTAGATGCATCCACTTGAGATTTTGATATTGGTGGGGGACTTAAATAAAAATATTGCACTTGATGTCTTTCAGAAATCCCATGGTTTGGACATTTTCTCATGAGTTCTTTAAAGTGGTTACAGGCCTCATGATAACATTCCCCATCTCTTTGCTGAAACGTTTGGATCTCTGGTTTGATCTTCGCTACCCTCGCCGGTGGAAAGAATTTTGTACAGAATTTTCGAGTTAGTTCATCCCATGTAGTGATGCTTCCATGGGGTTCAGCATCCAACCATTCCAATGCAGCATCCCTTAATGTGTAATGGAACAAACGTAATTTAATAGCATCTTGATTAACTCCCGGAGCATGACAGTTCTGACACGTCCTGAGAATTCTGGTGACATGTGTATTCGGATTTTCATGTGGCAGCCCGTAGAATTGAAGAGTATTGCTCATCAAAGTGATCCATTCTGCCCTTATCTGAAAATTGTTTATCCCGAAAGCTGGATACACAATACTGGAGCGTGCTGGCGCGGCTATTGGCGTTAAAAAC